CAAAGGCTGCCCAAAACGAAGCGTTTTATGTTCCTTGAAGTCTTACTCGAGGATGAGAGTTTGTCGTTTGGGGAATACGACTTCAATATGGCCAAGTGAAAAGGAGTTTTCCTTTAATGCCATGGCTAGAGACAATTGAAATTAAAGTTTACATTTGGTAGATAGTTGATTAAGTGTATTTTGCTTGCTTAAATTCAACACAAAGCTGTGGCCATTAATTAAATTGATTTTAATCTCTAATCAAGAATAACCTTTTACATTTTTTTCTTTAAATAACTTTTTATGGCCATCTCCCACACTTTGAAAGTAATTTGAAATATGTAATTATCACAGCAAACACAAATCATTGATTCTAATTAATGTACACGGATTTAATTAGTTTAGTGTTTAGCTATGTAAATATTGTACATAAATTTAAATTGAAATGTTCAAGGGTGTTGCAGTTAGTGATTGGTTTTTAATTGAAAAAAATGTGAATTATTATTTAACACTAAATAAACAATCAATATTTAAGATCTAGTTACTGAAATCAAAACCTTATTTTTATTTAACACAATTTACTTATTTATAGTTTCATAATGGTTTGGCAAAGTTATCTCAACACCATCCTAACCCCCACGCAAAACCACTCATATCCCGCAAAATTGCCTCATTACATTAATTTGATTTAAATTGAAAAGTAATTAAGTGGTCCAGCTACCCATTTCCCCCATAATAATTATCACTTTTCCATCGCATTATGCGGGTGCCGTTTGCTTTCTAGTTTTTCCCCAAAACCCTCACTTTGGCGGGTATTTTCACTTCGCAGAGCCAACAAAAACAGTAAACAAAATTTAATCAAAGTTTGGCCGCAACGCAAATGAAAAGCCAACTCCGCTGTGCATTGGACAACGCGGTCATATCCATCTACTTTTCCCAGATAATACAACGCAATTTTCCTCACCCAACCATACCCATACATGAATATATTCCTAATCCCACATCGTTTTTCGTTTTCACTTAACAAGCTGATTTACCTGCTGATGAAGATTGTTGTAGTAGCGGGTTATATATGCGGGTAATAGTTCGGCGGTCTCCAGGCCGATCCACTGGAAGACCTCCAGATGTTGGTCATTGGATTGGATGGGATCCCATGTGGTTGCCGTCGATAGGTTGTCGCAACAGCGGCAACAGCAGCACGCATCTTCAGTTTGCTCCATTCAGAATGGTCCTAAGAACCAAAAAACTTTTGCTTTTGGCTTTTATCAATTTATAATTTGATTAGTTGTGTTTCTTAACAAAGACATTTAAATTTGCAGTCGTTGTTGTTGTTGTTGTTGTTCTTGGCTGTTATAACACATTTGAATTTAAATTGAGTTATGGCTGGCTGACAGGCTGTAGTAGTATCTTGTTGTGCTGCCAATTTATGAGCAAGGCAACGGCACGTCCCCAACGCCAGGGAGCAGGCCAGTCCCTGAGTTGCCTATCCCTCACCCGCTTCCGTATTCCTAACCGTATCCGGCTGGCGGTTGCCATTTTGTCAATTGCTCCCATGTGGATTTTGCCGCCAAACACGTGGCCCGTCGCCTGCTGACAGAGGTTACGGCGGAAACTCGCGCGCGTAATTGGCACACTCACGAACGCACACAAACATACACTACGGGGTTTCTATAATATTTCGTTTTCTTTTTTTTTTAGCCGGATCCGGGTAGGCGTCCTGTTAATTTGGGTCAAGCGGGGTGTTTGGGAGGAAGGGCGGTGGACAGCCTCTTGAGAAATAGACTCACGACTCGAACTAGAACTGAAACTCAATCGGCCCGCGAAACTCCAACTCAAACTGGAGACTCAACTTGACGAAGGTTTTGGCCACAATCCTCCGGAGATGTGGGGTTGTGGCGCCTCATTAGGCGCCATTTTCACACATCAGCGGGCAAGTGGCAAATATAAATCCGAGGCGAATAAATCCGCCGACGTTCCCCAGCGGCGACTGCGCCGCAAACTAAACTGAAATCTCGGGTGCGCGCTTTTTGTTTAAGTCAATCACGAGTGCTCCGTTGTTGCAACTTGGCCAACAGTGTTGGCATATGCATAGCCGGGTGTTTTCGGAACTAGGTCTATGGATAGGTACATTGGTAGTTTACCTTGATAACTTACAAATCGAAGAAATACTTCATTGAAATCAAGCCGCTTGATTATTAATAAGGTATCTGTAAACTATCTTCCATGAGACTAAAAACCACCTTAATTCAAAACCATTTTAGAATTAATATTTCATTCCAAAGCTTAACTTTCTTAGATAATAAACATTTTCACATCTTATCTTAAAACTTAGAAGAACTTTTCTCTTTCCCAAATCCAAACTCCCAGATATGTAACCTACAAATACCCAAGTAATGAAAGTACCTTTGCCATTACTATCACCACCCACTGGGTGGAAGGGAGAGAGATGGCTAGATTTCAAGAAAAAGAGAGACCAAACTGCAGTTTGCTGCAATTTGCAGAGAGCGAAAGAGAGAGAGGGAGAGAGAGAGAGGTAGGAAGAGAACAGCAGCTTTTGCAGCTTTCACTTGGACATTGGCATTGTTGGTGGAAGTGCAGCCCTGGACAGAACAGCATCCCCCACCCCTTTGGGCATCTCTTCAACCCACTAGCCAGCTGCCACCCAACTACTACACACCACCCCCTTCGACGCCTACCGCTGAGCTGTGTATATAGCATTAACACATTCGTTCATTGCTTTCATCGTTGGCCTGCGTTTTCCTGCAGTTGTTCATATTTTGTTTTTCTTTTTGCCCACTTTTCTTTTATTCTTTGGGCAGGTTTTCTTTTTTATTTTCTGCAGATTGCTCGGATTTATGAAAATGAGACTGAGCTTGCGTCACACAAAAAAGACAGACAGAGATATAGCCAGCCGAGTCCGAGAGCCACGAGAGGCGCAAAAATAAATAAAAGAGGAAAATCAGGAAAAGCAGCAGCACCAGCAGAAGGACCACGAGCAAACGCCCCAGTGCAAAAAAGTGTAGTCTGCTTCAAGGAGCAATTAACGACAGTGGATGGCACAGAGTTATGTTATAGCATTGCGTCCACCATATCACACGCAGCCAGTGCCGTCGCCCTCACCCTCACCCCCACCCCAAAAACCCAAATCAGACCAAGACCGGAGACGACCCACTGGCACTACTCTACCTCAAACCAATCCAATGATTTCTGGGGAGGAAGTATTCTTTATAACCTAGAACAGACATGCTGCTGGGGGAGGGGGGTAAACCAATGAGGAGCTTAGGCCGAGTCTGGCAAATAATTGGATACTCGTGGGAGGATGAATCCTTCGCACATAAATACTCCTCAGAGTTGTTCTTTTCAAGTTCTTTGACGACGAGGGGACACATTAAAGCTCACGTTGATGAGTGCAGTTCCGTTGAAGAGCAAAGTTGATAAAGAGGGATTCCGTCTCTTGGTATTATATGCATTTAAATTGGATATAGTTGAGTATGTCTAAGTAAGCACTGTTATTTTACTGCTTTCACAGGATTAAGTTTTGTTGTTTTTATAGGAAGTAAAGGAAGCAACAATAGTTTACCAATAGATGTGGTAAAATGCCTTTTTTGCTTTAAGTAACTTTCTTAGATTTCTCTTTAAGATCTCCATAAATCGAGATTTTAAATTAAAATTAACATCCATTAACATCCTTATTATAAATTAAAAGCTTTGCAACTTTAACCAATCCCTGACTTGTTTTTTAATACCCCTTTCAATATTATATTATATTTCTGTGAAACACATTTTTAGTTTGCAAACTTCACCCCAAATCTCACTTTACGTGACCAGCCATAGCATCCATTAGCCATATTACTGGTATCCAATACACTGCAATCGAAATCAATTCCGAGTCCCCACAGAACTTGGAATAATCTTTTATGGTCTTATACCGGTCGTAAGGATATTTAAGGTTTCGTCGAAACAAAAAGTTAACCCCCAACCGTCCGTTTTTGCTTATTTATTTTTTGTTCGCTATCGTTAAATGTTTTTCTGCCCCTTTCGCAGCTGCCGAGTGAAGTGGTAGATGAGGAGCAGCAGAATGAGGAGCGGCAGGGATTGAAGGAGTGGAGTGGAGGATGGTAGGCGGATGGCCATATGCCGACGTAGTCGGAACAACGATGGCACTTGAGCCGTGTACTCGTAGCATACTTTTCAGCGCAAAAAGCCCTCGGGCGGGAAAAATGGGAACTGAGCCCCGGTAGCCTGATGGGTGCGGATGTTTTTTGGCCCATCTACTGTTTCTCCTTCGGCTACTGTTCCTCCAGCCTCCAGCTCCTGGCTCGTGCTTCCTCCTCTTACTGTTGCTTTAGCTGTTGTTGTGGCCTGGCTACGTCCGAAATTCATTTTGGTTTATTCTGATTAAATTGTTTGTATTCGGTTGCATTAGCTACTGTATGTGCTTACACTGGAAATAATATTTTATAACTTTGGAACTCTTTCAATGTCAGATTCGAGTTGAAGTTCATGACAACCTTGTTTGGTTACATTCGAGCTTATAATCATGAAGGATAAATAGTTATCAATTTGCAGTTTCGTAGTTTCCATATTCATTCCTCTCTTCAAAGTATTAAGTAATTTCTCCTTTTTTCTCTCAGTATATTTATGTGCATGTACAGCGTTGTGTGCCGGTATGAGTCTCTGTTTAAGCAAAGGATTAGTGACTCTGTCTGCGAGCGAGTCCTGCGAGTGATGGCTCTGCCGCAGGCTCTTACTCCTGCGCCGGCTTGTTTGCCCGCACTAAATACATTTCAAATTTGTTTAAGCTTAAGCCAAAGCGAATTGGGCGACTCGAGTGGACCACAGATTGATATGACCACAGAGACACGAACAAAGAACTCAACAGAGACTGCGAGAGAGAGACAGCCCTGTGATTGCCAGATTATTGCGAAATAAAGCTTGCCACAAAATGCCCAACAGAGTAAGAGTAAACAAGAAAGGCACTTCTCCTTTTGCCTTGGCCCCCAGCCTCACTCTCCACTCACCTGCATGTGGGGGCGGCCAGGAGCTGCAGCAGTTCGTCCTTGGCATACTTGCCGCCCAGAGTATTGCCGCCAGCCGTCGATGAGAGTAGCTCCAGGACATCACGACAACGTCCAACGGCCTCGGCAGCAGGTGCTCGTCCATTGCTGGTCACCACTGTCGCCGCGATCCTGTCAAACAGCTGCAGAAATTGGTGCAGCCTGCTGTCGCGCAACATATCCCGCAGCACATCCGCATCGACATGAGCATCCTGCAATGAGTATATGTCGTCAAGGCAGTCCAGGATGCGTTGCACTGCCTCGATGCCCGCCTCTTCGTCGGCCCACTCATCCGTGGCACCGGCTATGGGCACTGCAATAAGACAAGTACAAATATTAGAAGAGGTTTTAATATAATTAGCTTAATATTTTTGATGTGTTCTGGAAGATTATGTCTTATAAATATGAAAATATGCCTTATAAACTGCATTGAAAGCAAGCCATTTCAGAACAAAAACTCATTCTATAGCTTCCTTTGAAGAATATTTTTACGAAAACAAATAAGGATTAAATTACAGTAAACAAAGTTAGAGGCAAAAAACAATCTTCGATCAAAGTAGACTAGAAAATGGTTATCTATCAGTATCTATAGTTAAATTGTTAACCTAACTCATGAACTCCAATAACCAAAAGCTTGAATAGTAATAGTTTAGAACCAAATACTAACTGTCCGCATCGGTGGCATATAGCGGATCCATGTTGGTGCCTCCAGCGATGGCCTGAACAGCACCTTTAAGCTTGCGCCTGGCATTATAGCGCTTCAATTCCTCCACCGTATCCGCCAAGTGAGTGCGCTGTAATTTATCCCGATCTCGTATCCACGGATGATCAAGCACCTCGGTGATAGAGAGTCTGTGATGGGGATTTGCGGCCAGCATTTTCATGACTAGATCCTTGGCATTCGCCGAAATAGATTTCCACTCGGGTGCCTCAAACTGGAATTAAGAATACAATTAATAAAGATAGATTTTTGTCTGGTTACAGCTCCTTAGCCTTTGATCCACTCACCGATAACCGACCGCGTGCTATAGACTGCTGCAACCGTACTCCTGATCCCAGAAAAGGCAATCTGCCAGAGAGCAGAACGTGCAGCATAACTCCAGCACCCCAAACATCGCATCCCTTGCCGTAAAGCCGCCGGGTCACCACCTCTGGCGCCATGTAATGTGGACATCCGACACGTCCATGTGTTTCTATGGTTTCTCTGGTGCCCGGCAGCTGGATAGCCGATCCGAAGCCGCCAAGTTTCACGGGCGCCGAATTGTCGACGGTGGCAAGTAGAGCACAAGCAGGACGTACATCCCTGTGCAGGATGTCGTTTTCGTGACAATAGCGCAATGCCTCCAGGATCTGGCGCATATAGTGACTGGAAGATAGAGTAATTGTTAATAAATTGGTTTCATCAATTAATTTGATTTGCGTTTGTTTTAGCAGCTAGTTTATAGAAGCCTTATTAATGAGTTATGATTGGAGATAATTGGAAAAATCAAGTATAATCTACGGACTCAATTTAATATTCTTTAATAATCATTTAACTCGTTTAGCTGTTTGAAATCGTAAATGAAAAGTCGATAGTTTCCTTTTTTTGTTAATTACTTTTTTGTCACTATGGATTTAGAAATATTTGACTTCCGCTTAGAACATTTTTAATTAATACATCAAACTTTAACATAGTTAATCTCTCAAAGAAATGCACGTACATGGAGACAAAATTAATTTCGTTTGTTCAAATCGAATTACTGCCCGGGCATGTCGTTTAATTAATTATAATTAATAATTTATTCTCTCTTTGGCCAAAACGAACGCAGATTGTTGGAAATTCCTTTCCGGATTCTCACCAAGCAACCGCCTCGCTGTAGACAAAACCGGCAACAGCCCGACGCACAACCTCGAAGCACAAGTCGGAGCCCTCCATGCTGCAAGGAGTGCAAAAAAAGAGAAAGGATGTTAGAAATGGGCACCACCACCGCCGAACTTGACAACTTACAACTCGAAGACCATGTAGAGCATTCCCTCGGAGCTGTATGTCTCCAGCAGCTCGACGATGTGCGGATGCTTGAGCATGTGACATATTGTGGCCTCGCGCTTCAGATCTACAAAAGAGGAACACAGAGAGGAAGTCAGTTCAGAGGAGTAGCGGGAGGGGAAAACAGCGGCAATTAGTTGACATTAGATGGAGGGAAAGAAGACCACCCACTCGACCACCCACTACACCAGCTGGCAGTGGCACTAATGGACTTAGCGCTGACTTATGTGCCTGCCATGTATCATTTAGTCAATGGCCGGATGGGCTCCACCTACTCGTCCTCATCCTCCTTTGCTACCGCTGCCATGTCCATGTCCTCGTCCTGATTCAGGTTCAGGTCCTGGCGCCCTTGCACTTGAGCAATTTCTTTTTAATTGGCGTCTTGGGCTGGCAAACGGGCAGCCCTGGGGGCGTGCTACACGTGTGGCAGCGGCATAATTTTGAATAATTGAGCAGCTTAATTATAATTTATTCACACAGCAACGGAGGATGAGAAGGATGAGGAGGAGGAGGCGGTGGAGGCGGTGGAGTCAGTGGTAGCCCGGGGCCAAATCGAACAAGGTCGTCGTCTCATCGCGCCATCAAAAATAAAAGTTGAATATATATATATATATGTATATTGGATATATAATGCTCACCCGCCGTGCTCAGTCCAGGACTCGCTGTGAACTTGGCCACATCAACGATTTTGACAGCAAACTGCTGATTGGACTCCCTGTGTATGCATCGCCTCACAATGGAGAAAGGTCCTCTGCAAAAAGAACAGAGAAAGGACGAGGGGAAAGTAAATTCGGATTAAACTTCAATTGAAAGTTGATTGTGTCTAAATGGGGGAGTCAATAAAATTTTATTTTCCTTTGGCAGAAGCTAAAAATATTCCTTATTGCTAGCGAGAAAAACATAATCAGGTATTCTTTTTGAAGATTACACTTAAGCTGGCTACCTTTTCCTGGAAAATTGTTAAAATTTATTTTTAATTTGTATATTGAGTCGTTATAAAACCTGTTTTAATCCAAAATTCCAAGTCATTATAAGTCAGACAATGTTATTCTTTTCAACTGGCTTTATGACAGTGATGTCACCAATCTAAATTCGGTTCAAGTTCATCTGCGTACTTAAAGTAGATAATAAATTTTAACTGTTTGATCAAAAAAAGAATTGTGTTTCCCACTTCATTGAATAAACTTTAGAACTGTGTTAATGGCACATTTACAACATCATTGGAAATACTTGGCCCACGAAAACTAAATTAAACAAAGTTTAACTTCAAAATGGTGACAACTTTTGTGAATGGACTGCTAGCTAAACTATGATGATGATCACAGGAAAAGTAACTAACAGCAGCAAATGTTTGGCCATACATTTTTGAATAATGCAAAAGTTGGGCGTTGGGAAAGTTCTCTTTTTTTATGGCATTCTGGAGCGAGGGAACGAACTCCCTACGAAGGGCCAATAGTTGGATGATTTACAGCTTGTTGGGGGGTGATGCTAGCTTGTGGGTGCACGGGGCGGATACATAATACATAATGAGATAATGGCCATGGATGCCAGCTGTCAGCAGCAGAATCGGCCAAAGAAGATATAGCCAGGGGTGACGTTGTAGTAGTAGTAGTGCGAAACTTACTTGCCAATGACCTCGCACAGTTCGTAGACGTCGTCAAAGAGAATTTCGTCTTCGGTCATTTTGAATAATTGATGAATTGATGCCTCGACTCAATTGCTTTTTCGAATATTGATGAGTTCTGTGTGTCCTGCCTGGCGCTTTTCCTTATTTTCCTTTTTTCTTCCCTCGTTGCCTACTGCCCTCCAAAAATGAACATAAAAAATAAACAAAAAACGAAGCGGCCAGTGAGCAACTCCAAAACTTTTAACGCGTTTTTTGTCGGTTTCTTATTGATGATTTTTTGTTGTTGCTGTTATTATTGGTGTTGTTGCTTCGTTGTTGTTGTTATTGCCGTTCACTGCGTTGTTGTTGCTGCTGCTGCTGCTGATGGTGTTAAAAATGCATTTTGCGCTGAAAAAATGAAACAAAAGCAAGTGGGAATAGTATAGGTGAGTTTTTCCATTAGTCCAAGGCTGCTAATCAGATTTATTTGGCGTCTAATTAAGAACCTGTCAAGAAATGTTGAGAAACATAACGTGACTGTAATATATATGTTCTCTGAGAGATTCTGTAGGCATATAAATTATTTTCTTTCTATTATTTAAAATGTATCGAAATTTTTATAAGGTTTTCTTTAAATTTAGATTTTAGTACTATGAATATCTTCCATAAAACCACAAAACTATTTAAAGTTTTATGTTCTAAATATAAACTTTTTAAAACACAATCTTGGAATAAGAAGTCCTCACAAGTGGTTAAAATAGTAAGGAAACAGGGTAACCCCTGTTATGGATATTAAGGTAATAATAATACCATTCTTCATCTATGTTCCCCTCAAAAATTATTAATTTAATCTAAAATTCTAGATAAAGTCACATTTTCCCACACATCTCCAACTCATTACAGATCGAATTGGAAATTGAAAATTGGAAAACCATTGTAACCCCATAAGGGTGTTTGTTAAAACTGATCAATACAAAATTTTGAGGGGAACATTGTGTTTGGCAACGGAAATGAGAATGGTCAGAGTCCGGGGCTTCTTTGATATGTCAATCACATTGGTCTCGTATCAGGTGCAAAACCCCAATCAATTACAGGCAGCACATACCACAAATGCACAAAATTCTGTCGAAAATGCCCATTAATGGGAAGGAAGTCTCCAAACACAGACGGCCAACTGAATTTTGCAACGGAAATGATGGCCGAGCCACCGAAAAAGGTAAACAAGCCAAGCAGAGGCCCTCTGCAAAATGTGGATGTTGCCTTTAGGGGGTTAAGGATGGTTTTTGGGGGGTTTTGAGGGGGGATAGAGGGCCAAAAGAGAGGCTAGCATTGTCTTGGTCATACTATTATTATTATGCCTTTTGGTCCAAGCACTTGAACACACTTTCGAAAACTTTGATGGCACTCAAAAAAAACGCCAAAGAGAGAGAGTGAAGTACCGAAATGCGCAGGCGCCGTGCGAAATTCCTTGTAAAGTACCAAAATTGTAATCGTAAAAAATATAAGCTATGCTTTCTGCCCGGGCTGCATGAATATTTAAATGTGCAACAATTTACGATGCACACACACACAGCTAGGCAAAGCTAGTAAGGACAAGGGAGAGCAGGTTGGGGCATATGGGGATTCCCGGGAAGGACTTTTGGAGTCATGTTTAATGCAGAGCTGCGCATGGGGCGCGGTGTTTTTTGGCTCGGTTTTAGTATTCGGGCTCGAGGGTTTTACCTTGCTCGTGTGCCGCTGTTGTAAAATGCCTTGACACTTTCCACACGACCTTACCGCCCATAGAAAACACCACCACCCCCTCTTCACACACACACACAAACACACTCGCACTCACACTCACTATATGCATTTTGTACCCTTCTTATAGAACTTGTAAGACTCTCGAGTATCTCACAATTGGCAAATTGATTCTTTGTCTTAAGGCTTTGCATTGCTCATGTTTTTATCATGTTTCCAGCATCCTCTTGTCCACGCCCCCTTATCACAGACACACACCGCCCCCACACTCCCACATACACTGGCTCATACGAACATTTCGCATATATTTTTATGTACGAAAACCCACCGATTCACAGCGATTTTTTCAACGCCCGCAGTTTTTCGGCATTTTCACGGATTGCTTCAGTACACGATTGTCAAGGTCCGCACTCCGAATCGGTTGGCAAGCTGATTGCATTGGGTAATTTACTAATTTTAACTTAAAACAAACACGGCCCGTGAGGAATTGATTGGCGAAGAACTGGTTGCAACTGAACCGGTTCGCCGAGAACTAGAATACCAGGGCTGAATAGCTATAAAGTGAACTGTTTTGGCAGTCGGAACTAGTTCTTTGTATTAGTAATATATTTATTCAAATCATTAAATTTTTAGTTGAAATCATATCATATTGAAAACATATCATTTTAGATAAGCTTTCTACCTGGAATAGTATAATTTTTTATTCAACAAAGTTGATTAAAACAATATATTTGTTTCTCCTTAAAAATACCAGAAAATAACAGGTTTGACTTTTTTCTATAAAATATGTTCGGTCTGTTTAAACTTAGGCGGGAAGTTTAAAAAATGTTTTGCAGGAAAGAAATTAAAAATTACCATTAGTAATGTAAATATATACTGAAAATAAAGTAATCTAAATAAGAAATGATTATTATGTGACAATAACTCCTATTGAAATAGTATACAGAAGGTAATTGGAATATATAATACAATTAAGCCGAAAATAAATATTTGTTCGCTTTCATTTGTAGAAACAATGTCATTAGCTTTAGCAATGTTTTCGATTATAAAATTATATGTATAAAACCTCAAAATATTAATCAAATACGCAATAAGTATGTTTACCTAATGCTTTCTCATTGTGCATATTTTTTATAGGCTTTTTTATTTGTTTGACTTATCTGCACAGAGCACATGTTTTCGTTTGATAAATATCTACTGCATGCTTGATAAATTTGCTTGAAAGTAAGATAATTTATTGCATACTGAATTGTTTCCGCTTAAGTGAAGTTTGCTAATATTTACCCAAGTACGCAAGTGCATAATGTTGATATGGTTGGATATTGCATATACAAATTTCGAATAATTTTCTTTTTATTCCCGTAATATGCCATCTTATAAGCCATTCAATCTACTTCTTTTCTTATTGAAAAATCCACAATTTACTTATCAGAACTAAGCCATTCGCCTGTTAATGAAGGGATTTCCACTATGGAACCCTTTTATCAACTTGCTTTATCGCCATGCTCGTTCACAGACCATTGAATATTACCATATTATTCACATTACTTCTCTTTGCGCGCCATTCAACTTTATCTATTATTATTATTATTAACCCATAGCATTTGATAAGCCCATTAGAATAAATTAAGATCTTGGCATTAATATTCCGGGCACATACAGGAGTCCCAAGGAAAACCCACACACAAATATTCCCTCAAGAAAACAGAAACTCGGAGGTGCGTAATCTTTAAATCAGCTAAGAGAAGGGGGCGGGGGTGGGGACAGGCCTCAAACATAAACATCATCAATTACAAAACCTCGAACAGCAACAACAACAATGTACAGCAACAACAAGAACAACAACAACAGCATAAAGATAAGGCAGAACAGAAACAACAAGCCAATAAAGGGCTAACAAACAGAGAAACATCAGCCAGATGAAGAAATGAAGAAAGAGCTGATGAAAATGAACTCAATATGGCAATATTAGTACTACCAACAACTCGAAAAGGATAGCCAACAACAATAACAGCCATTTCGAGATGAGCAGCAAAAACAACAAGTGTTAATGAGCAGTAACAGTGAGGACTCGAAAGTGTTAAACACAAAATTGGTAATTAAGATTCTTCTAAAAAGTGGTTAAGTCGCTAAAAATGTTTATTTTTCTTTCTCCTGATATAAATTTTAAGAGGCTTCTCCCTTTTAGTTCAGCTATTGAAATTTCAAATGTATACCTTATCCTATACCCACTGTACCGAAACAAAAAAGGACAAAACGAAGGAGCAATACACAACTCACGTTAAGAAGTCGTAGGTCGTTGCTTTGCATTTGTTTGCTGCGTTGGTTGACAATAAATAAAAAAATACAACAACAAAAAACAACAACAACGGCAAGCAGAGCAGTGGTAGGACAAAAAACAAAACAAAAATAAACTCGATAAAAGATGAACAACAAAAGGGCAGGGAAAAAGGCTCAGCCACTCAGGTGAAATCAAAATCAAATTCAACGCCAACGAAGAAGAAACCTCCCCGTGTACCTTGCTCAGTTCCTTGTTCGTTCCTTATGCCCCATCTCTTTCGATTTCTTAATAGCTCCGTCTCTTTCCCTTTGCCGATCCTTAGCTCTCTGTCGCCGGTGATCGTCATCATTTGGACTTGCGACTGTCGCGCTTAATGCGTGTGGATGGACATGAACGTGTAGGATTCGAATTGACATTATAAAAACTGGTTTGCTATGCTGCCGATATATATATTGCCATATCCCCGGTTACGCTACGTCCTACGTTTAACGCCTACGTCCCTCGCCCTCGAGTTTCCCCTCTTTCTCTTTATTCCTTTCTTTCTCACTGCATGTACCTGCCTACTGGGATCTGATTCCTGTTTGTTGTTGTCTCTAGGATACCTTTACCTGCCAAGAGAGGGGGCGAAAAGTGCGCGCCAAAACGATAGGGACACAGGCACAGGGGTGATCCTCAACAATGGTAGCCTCTGACATCCAAATGATCCGATAATGACAGTTGATATTGTGTAAGGCAATCGAGAATGTCAGATTTGAGCATGTTAAATGGGTGAATGCACTGGGCATCACGTATGTCTTAAGTTCTTATACGGGAATTATTGGTTATTGCTTATTCTGACTAATTTCATCAGGTAATGAAAGATGTGCAAACTTATAAGGTCTTATAAGATGTATCAGTTATTGAATACTTTTTCTAGATTGTTCCCCAAGAAAATTGAACAGAAAGATAAAAAGAGCTCGCCAATAAGATAAAGACAGTCAGGCGATTCTCTGCAATAGTAGCATGACGTTTAAATGATACGTTAATGGCAGTTGACATGGCGGGGCAATCAAGAGATAGCTAATTTTTATGGTGGTAAACAAAGCAGAGAATCGAATGTCAAGCCCTTAAAAAATGGATAATCATTAAGATTATTCCATTGGCATTAACCGATAATAAATATAGAATGAAACATAATGTGAATAAAGGCTGAACTGTTAACTTGCAGCTTTAAACCCAATAAGGTTTTGAGTATATATTAAGTTGAAAACATTAATATTAATCTGAAATCTTATTGGAAAAGATATTCCTAAAACATCAATTTAAGATACCAAAGACTTGCAATAGAACTTACTAAGTTTAAAGCCTAATAATTTTCCATCTCTCCGAAATTGTACTCCTCATTGCATCTGATAGATGGATTAGGCACTGACGCAGCATCATCATTAGTGGTCGAAACCCTCCCTCACCTCCTGCCATTCCCTAGCCCCCTCATCGGACCTTTCTCTTTTCGCCTGATCATGTTATGGCATATTCAGTTAATGTAGTCAAATTACATTGCCTGGAAATGCATCTCGCAGCGCGCACACACAGACGCATATTCGTTTACCAGACCTAAACTCCAGGGCCTACCGATCTCGGATTCGATCCTGAGTTGGGCTCAAACCATGACCATGGCCCATATGGCTGAGGCAACGGCAACAGCAACAGCGGCAGCAATTAACTGCAAAATGTCATTAACCAGCGTCGTAGGTGAGAGGCCAAGAAGAAGAGACAGACTGACATATGACAGGCACATCAAGCAGTCAGAAAACCCGACCAAACCAAACCGACCCAACCCAGTAGAACCCGGTTCAGCATCACTAAAAACGCCCTCGCTCGGGCCAAGCCCCTCATCCACCCTCAATGCACTGGGGGAAAATGATTGGACAATATGGTATAAAGATATCAGAAAACTAATAATAAATAAACAGATAGTTTATAATAATGAAATTCAGTGAAACCTTTTAACAATCTATCTATGTTACCAACTTGTTAACGCTTTATTAGCAGCTTAGTAAAGTGCATGTATCTAAACTACACACGTCAGCTTGGTAATTTGTTTGATAAATATTTACAAGCAAGCTGTGTAATAACCAAAAATATCCAGATATAACTTTTAATTTTAGTTGTTTATAAATTGGTAAATAAACTTTGAAAGGCGTAAAGTTTTTATAGGAAATTTTAAATATATTTTCATAGGCTAAGGTCAAGACAAGAATGTAACAAACTTTTTATTAGCCTACTAATTGCCGATTAAATTGGCAAATACTGCAAACGGTTAATAAAATGTTTAGTGTCTTAAAGATAAAAAGATCATTAAAAACATAAAACTATCTTCTGAGTGTACGCTCCCCTCCCCCATGATCACTCCTCATGGCTTGTGTATTATGTTCCCTGGACGTTCCACCTTGGCATTAAACGCTTGATTAAATTTCACTACAAATGGGCTGGGCAGGGGGAAGTCGAGACACACTAACATCAGCTATATATATATGCATATATCCATTTATTATTGGAAAAAAGGTCATCTCAGTTTCTGTGTCCATATGTTCCTGCCCGGACAGCTATCCATCCATCCGTCTATCCATTTTGTATCTGGATATCGTGTAGCTTGTATCTCACAGCTGCTGCATGTTTTGACTGTCATCGCAATTAGAAAGCTCCGCTGATCTCTCACATGATTTGTTCTTTTTTTTTTTTGCCAATAGCACTTGCATTTAATTTCCCATGAAACAAGTTTCCCTTCGCTTTCCGGCGGAAAGAGCGCCGAGGGGGTTGGCGAGGAAAAGAGCGCTAAAAAGAAAAATGCAAAATTGTGGGGAAGCCTGAAAAGTGCGGCGCAGCGAAACGCGGTGAGAAAATGTTTTGCATTATTTACATTTTTACTGCAGTTAGTTATGTTCTTCGCTCCGGTTTTGTTCTGACTCGTTTTGGCCATTACTCCGCTGCAGGACATCCGTCATCCGTTTCGCTTTTTTTGGTTTTCATTCTTTTTCGTTCTTTTGGTTTGGTTTTATCGCTTGGCTTCCTGCCGCCTTTGAGCCCTGCTGATGTTGCTCTCATTAACAAATTGTCAGGTGTGCTGGCCGCGTCAGTTATCCGTCATGCTTTGGTTAATCAGCACAGAACCGAACTGAAGCGAAGACCTCAAATAAACTACAGAACATTGCACAAAAGATAAACAATCCGAAAAATCCAAAAAGAAACCT